ATTTTAGTACAGATTTCCAACTTGTTACTTATTATTTAAAGCATATACAAACAAAAGGACAATTTTATATAAAACCATGTTCTAAATTTTTCTTTTACAAACTGTGGGATATAGTAAAGAAACATAGTTGAACTTGTGGAAACACTGAAGTATGTTATAATAAAATGAAGGGACTAAGAAACAAATCGGGATTTGGTGATAAAATTTCTTCATTATTTTCGCAATGTGATATTAATCTTCGTGAGTTCGATGATGATATATTTGAAGTATTTAGAAATCTAGATGTAACATTTGATAATTTAAATTTATTCATAAGTAACACTTCTCCACAACGTTCGAAATTTGATGGTTTTAATAATGGGATGAAACAGTTAAGAAGTTTTCAAGATAAGTATAACAACAGTTTTGAAGATTTACTTAAATATTTTAATGAATCAATTGAAAAATATTTCAAAAGTATAGATCAAAATAATTCCTCTGTCAACGCATTCATTAGTTATAAATTAATATATAGAGATCATGAAGGAGTATTGAGAGTAGCAAGTAAAAAGCCACAAATGCCAGCTATAACAGGTACAGATACTGGTACACAAATGGATACAATATTAGATACAGATACTGGTTCCCATATAAGTACAGGAATAAGCTTCATATTTTGTTCCATATTAATAATAATTTTTATATTGTATAAGGTTATATATAAATTATAAATATTTATTATATATTATATTATAATTAATATTACATATTATTATGAAGTATTTATATCACATATATTTTATAGACGTAAAAATAACATAATGGCACTAAATTTTCATAACACTCCTTTTGGATCCTATCTACAACCAAGAGCATGGAAGTTAAGAAAACTAATTAAAAGAAAAAATAAAAAACATATGAACTTAATTGGTTTACATGAAAACATGTACAATGAGTTAAATGAAAAACAGTATGAAATAGTATATAGATCAATATGAAGCTTTTAAAAAATTATTAACAAAAAAAAAGTAAAATAAAATGAATTCAATTTAAACTTCTTTAAATAATGCTATACGATTTAAATTAAAAAATAATTAAAAGAACAAATATGTGTTAAAATTTTTAAAAGAAAAAGAAAAAATAATTTAATATATTTACTTTAAATAAATTGAAATATAAATTTTGTTGTACATCAATATGATGTATATATTTATTTTTAAAAATGCAAGAACCTTAAAATCCTTACCTTTTTTATGATATCAAATAGTTACCGTAACAACATATTTAAAAATATTTATAATTATATTTAATACATTAATAATTTACGTAAATTATAATATTTACACTCAATATATGATTATTACATATGATGAAAGCAGGAGTTTGAAATAAGTATTATACAAATAAGTCAATTAATTTCTAACATTATGCACAATATGACCCAATATTTATACCAAAAAAATATATAGAAAATATGGCTGAATTTTTATGTTTATATATTAGGAATATTCTATTACATATACATAATTGTAAAATGACATGAATTATTAATCCTGATAATTATACTTTAATGTTATATAAATGAATTTATTTGAATAATATAAATGCACATAGGGTTAAGAGATTTACATATATTTTTAAATAATTTTGAATATGTTTAAAATAAAATTAATACAATTCAAAGTAAAGCATACGGAAAATTTTATGAAAAGTCAATATAATACAAATATATTTTTAAAACGATAAATCTAATATTAGTATAGTATTATAATTGTATTATTATAATTCATTTTATAAAATACGTAATATATATACATCATAATTTTCAATTGAAAATATTAATTACCATTAATTTAATAGTTATATAACAATTAGAATTGCCTAATACTCTAATATATATTAAAGCTTATATAATGCTAAAAGTTTTTCTACTGAAAATTTATGAGAATGCTTAAATATATTTGAATTATGACACTTTTTTAACATAATACCTTATGTATATAACTATAACTCCATATTTAAGCAATATTTAACATATATAATAGGATACCTAGATTTCTTTTTCATAATTTTTTATTTGATTATAGAATATAATTCCCTCAAAACATTTGCAGAACCTAGAAGCACAGTAATTATATATTTATACAAGAAATTAAGATACTCATTTTTTTTATGTCGTGATATTTTTTTCCATTTAAAATTAATTGAGCTCTTATAAACTGATTAAATATTAAAATAAAGCTCTAAATGTCCCTCTTTCATATGCATTTCCAATAGATATAAATGTTTAATATAGGAATTATGTACCCATTTGTATTGTTTTAATATTATATAATTAATAACAAAGTAAAATCATATAAAATTATTAATAACTATGAATAGAAAAAAAAATAATAGATACATAATATCAACATTATATTGTTTTCACACATCGTATAATGCTACAAAAAATAATACAAGAATTCAATTATTCCCCTGGATTTACAAATAATAAATCATATATATATTATTAAATACATAACACAAGTTAATATTAGGATATTTATTTAAATTATAAATATAAGAGATTAAGTATACAGCAACCAAGTATTTTATATATATATACATAAATATATATACTGTTAACATTAGAATTTATACTTTAGAGATAAAATTCATAGCAATTATATGTCATCAGCAATTATAAATTAGACATTTAGGTGTAGTTGAATGAAAAGAGAAAATGTAGAACCTGGATTGTTGCACAACTGTTAATTATATATTAATATATATTTTATTAGTTATAACATTAAATATTTTAATTAAATTAATATAATTTTAATAATATAATGTTTTACATTATGTATAAAATAAATAACCGCTATACAAATTCTTATTTTAAATAAAAGTATGATTACACGTAAAAAAACCTTTATATAAGTTGTGTATTATCTATCTTATAATAATTAAGCATTAGAATTTTTTAAAACCAAAAAAATAACAATAATATATGTAGATATATTAGAAAGAAATGTATAAAAATGTGATTAATTTATTGTAATTTTTTAAACACTATATATAACAATGTATTTATCATTATTTGCAGCAAATATGTAACAAAAAATTAAACTCATCCTTTTACATTAGTATTCAAGTAATACCACAATAATATATTAAATATTAGCATAAAAAATAAGTGAACATAATATATATTACTATATTTTTATAATATAACATATTTTACTAGTGTTTGTTATCACTACAAAATGATATATGTAACAAAAATAAAAACATATTGTTTGTACCCATAAGCAATAATATTCTTAATTATTAAAAATAAATTGTAAGATATAATAATAATCTCATGTATTGAAACATAAATCTAATACTGGCTCATTGCGCATTTTGAGACTTGTATATATATAATTTTCACTGTATGTTTATTAGTATGGAAAGAATAAAAATATTGTAATTTTTAAAACAACATTTATTTTTATAGTAAATATATACATTTCTAAAATATTATTATTTTATGCAAAAAAAAAAATTCCTTTTATTTTGTTAGATGAATAATTTTGCAGTGTATATCACGATGCATATATATATATAAAAAAAAAATATTATTTGTATCCTAAAAAAAGCAATTATGTATTTCTGAATCTTAGAATAAAACTTCTTTGCGCATATAAATATTCTAAAATCGTATCACAATCTGTTATATACTATCCATAATAATATTACGTTCTTCTTTAAAAATGCCTAAAATATTAACACCTAGCCCCCCTAAAGCGTGACAATAAAAAAACAATATAAAACATAAAAAAGCCTTATTTGCAAAATAACATAAATAATCTGTAAAAATTTGCATAAAACAAAATATTTTATATCTTTGTTCATTCTATTAACATTAGCAAATATTTTATATATAATATAAAAAAACTCAAATATTAGGTAATATTATAAATATGTTTTATAAATTAATTTTTCAATTAATTTTTACTTTTTTTTTTAATTACCATGTTAAAAAAACATTAATCCTTCTATAAATAATGTATTATTCCTTAATAAATTAAAATACTTTTGAAATTATATTGTTATTACGTTTATAAAAATATATTACTGTTGCAAATATTGCATACAATAAAATTGATAATACTTCTTTCAAATAACAATAAGAAGTGATAATTTAATAGTTTATAAATATTATTTCTTATAAACCACACGATATATACAATATGTTTTAAATATATCTAAATCCTAAAAAGATAATACATGGAAATACATAAAATCCTATTACATTCCCGTAAAAATTATTATGAAAATAAAAATATTGAAAAAATAGTTTAATAATTACTGTATTAAAAAGTAATGTAGAGTGGAAATGATGTAAAATATCAATACGAAATTATTAAAAAAATATATATATGTATTATAAAAATGAAATATTATGTAATATTAATCATTTTGGACTATATGTAAAAACTAATAATTACAGAATATTTAACTATTTTATTATGTACTACTAAAAAATATTTGTTAAATATTGCATTCATTATAATAGTAATATAAGGAAATAAATATTAGTTTATAACTATATAATTTTAGCCTTATATTTTTATTAATGTAAAGCTTTTGGCAAAGTTTAAAATGTGTTAATACATCATAAGATAAATTTTTTGTACAAAAGGTAATTAAGAACTTATACAATTAATTAGCTGCATCATAATAAATAAAAACAAACAAAATACAGCATATATAAAAATGTATATTTAAAATACAATAATGTATGAAACTGTTATTAAAGGTAGTGCATTCAAAAAATAAAAAATATGCATCAATAAAAAAATAATAATTATGTATATAAATACCAATCCATAGACATATTTAATATATTTATAGTAATATTATATAATACTAAATTATTCATAAATGATCTGTAACCAACAAAAATATAAATTACGAAACGTGCTAATATATTATATTTTATGTTTTTACGTTAACATATATAGTAAAAGAAATGAAAAAGAAATACATGTATTATAATGAATGTTACGGAAACTTTTAAAATTGACCCTAAACTCTATAATATAATTAATTACAAAATTTATCTAATACACTTTATACGACTATCCATTACCCTAAAGACTGTATCAAGAAAATATGACAAGTGTTATAATAATACTCCTATACATTTAACCAAAGAAAATAATTATCTTTATAAATTATATTATTTATATATATCTATTTGTAAAATGGATTAAGTGTTTATTTTTACGTAATTTATTTTAAACATTTAATTTCTTATAGAATAGCAGCAATGATATTATATTTGAAGCATTGAAGAGCAAGCATGTTATTCTTACACAATTGGACACTCCTATGCTTATGAGTTACTGTATTTCTTCATTAAATGTTAATTCAATTTATACTATTTTACCAAATGAGTTATTTACTCAATGCTTTATGAAAGATCGATCCATTATTAATGCATCCAGTTGTCATATACAAAAGGACAAAATTACTTCGTTGTTAAATGAATGGATATACGAAATAAAGCACCCTTCACCAACTAAAATGATTTTACCTGTTTGCATAATTTTAAAGATAATTGTTCTACTCATATTTTTTATTATATATAATGTAATATTAAAATTTATTAATATATATATGAATTATTTAAAGAAATTTAACTTTAAAATTATTAAATTTTTATAACACAAGCTATTTTATAATTATTAATTATCTATTCACAGTTTTCCAAAATTAATAAATTTATAAATAATACATATTATAGAAGAAATATAATGAGAAATTTTTTACATTGGATTTATCATTTTAGAACTAGACAAGATTCTCAATCATGTTCAGGAAAAAAAAGGACTGATATAATATACATATGAGCGATAAATACGTGAATATAATAAAATGAAATGACCATGTCTACTTATGCTACAATAGAACAGTAATATTTTCTTATATGTATGTGAAAAATTCAAACGACAACAGAAATATGTTAGAACAATAGAATATTTATAATATATAAAAAAATGGAAAAAGTGATAGGAATTTTTCAAATATATATTTAGATTACAGTGAGTATATACAAAATTTTCAAATAAATATATAATATATTGTAAATGTAAATATTTAATCTATTATTTTATAAAAGTTTTTTTATAACATTCATCCTACCTAACGTCACTGTAAATACATAATAAAATATATAGCCTAAATATGAAGCATATTTAAATCATATTTATATGAATTATGTAATCCTTTTTTAATTTTAGGTAATGTTTATTAATATATTTAACATTATATCAGAACTATTTTAATTTTAACATATCATTCCTTAATTTTAGGTAGATTCATTTCTATATAAAGCTAATCTTAGCTATATAATCTATAGAATAATTGTCCTAAAAAATTTATTATTGATGATGTTGAAAATTATCTTAAAATTGTCCTATTATTCTAATGATTATAATTATTCATAAATGTTTTATTAATTTTGTTTAAAAAATTGTTTATAATGCAGAAAAATAATGTTTCAATAAAAGAATGTGTATTATACGCACTACATATATACATTAAACTTATGTATAAGAAAGAAGTATATTATTAAATATTTTGCGTAGGATAATTAAGAAGAAAGAAATCTTATATTTTAAAAAATATTAATATAGATAAATACTAGAAAAATTAAAAATATTTGTTAAGCATAAATAATTAATGAATAAATGCGCTAATGTTATACCGTTACCGTTTGCAATGCATTCCTATTTTGCTATTCATAAATGGTTGTATTAATATTTATTTTTTTTATATAATATTATATGTGATATTTTTTATATAATTACGATAAATTATCATTTATATAGTTATAGTGAATTATATCATCATCAATATTCATTAATATATTAATTATTTCTGGTTCAGTATTCCTCATACTTTGAATTATATATATTAAATAAAAGAGTATATATTTTACATTAATTATGAAACATAAAATAATTGTACCTTCTATACTGGTTCCACACATTGTAATAAATAGAACTCCCAGTTTATTAATTTTTTTCAACAAGTTATTATAACTATATGGTTTTTCTTATATATGTTTTATAGCTATTTTTACATTTATTATTGCAAATATTTAAAAATGTATACTAAAATGTTCATTTATTCTAAATAAATATGTGCTTGTATATTTTTATTGTAAAAATTATTTTAAAATATATGCACTGTTTCATTTGTTAACAATAAGATGAACTGTTTCTATAAATCCATTAATACTATTATATCACAAGTAATAAAATAAAAACCTTAATAAATTTTCATATATTACACACAAATAATCAATAATAAAAATAATAACAATTAAAGAGTGTAATTAATTACTCTGTGAACATAAATATTAAAGCATGTATTGTTACAAAAATATGTATAATTTATATTAGATCTAAGCTAAAAAAATATGTATAAATCTAAGAAAAATTTATTTTAAAGCCTCCTAAAAATTGTGTATTTAAAAGTTAATACACTCAACAGAAAATATTATAAAAAAACATGAATATAAAAAAGCATTATTATGAAAAATACATAAGAACCATTAAAGTTAATATAAATGAGTATTCTATTGTACAAATAAAAATACAAAATTTTCGAAATTACACACGTTTATGTATATATAGTATATAATATTGCGAGAATATATTTAATGTGTATTACATAATAATTCATAAAAACATAACATTATGTATATTAAAGGATGTAAATAACAATCATAAAAATATAACTTTTTTCAAGCACATGTTTTTGAGAAAATATATATTCCTTGTTATTAAATCAGTCTTGCATTTACTTATCCATACTTTATTATTTAGAATAATGACATAAATATACATTCAATAAAAAATTAAAACTAACATATAAATATTTTCTTCAGTTCTAAAAAATCTTATAATTTTATAATAAATAAATGTAAATAAATATAATATATAAGAAACAGGACTATTAATGCTATGATCACTTTTTTAGATATAAAATAATTTGATATACCCAAATCTCGATTCTGCAGAATGTACTATTCCAGAAACCAGGTGTATATACTATATACTAAAAATTATATCATATATGCTGAATTTATTTTTAAAGAAAAATATTGGTTCTTATGGAATATTTTTGCTACAAACATGTATAGTCAATATGATACAATTGCACTTCCTAAATGTATATTTATAATTACCTTAACATTTGTGTAAACGTGGAAATTAAACGTATGTAAAAGTTAGAATAATACCAAAAATATTATTTATTCTAATACCTAAAAAGTTATTATATTCATATTAAATAATTCCTTTCACTTCATATATAAGAAACCATATGAACCATTAGAAATTGTTGTGATGTGAATGAATTATATGTATACGTATATCCTCAGATATATGTGTTAAACGACAGTAAAATAAAAAGAACATTTATTTATTTTTTTACAATTTTACAATGTTTTTTTCATTATATAAAAAATGTTCTAGATTTATAGATTAAATAGATTATTATATTTTTATCCATTATCTAATATTTTTACAGAAAAATATTATGTCATTATTCTTTTAAAAATGATTTTCATAACATACCGTAGCAATAGGTTGATATTATCCTGGAAATTATGTATTTAATAAAGTAGAATAAAAAAACTATAATTATTTTGTCATTATTATGTACATAAAAAATAATGAGTAATTAAGAATCTAATATAATTTTTTGCAATTGTATAATTTACTAAAATATGATAAATTTTAATTTACATTGTTTTTTTTTATTTTGCGTATTAATGACAAAAAACAAATGTAATAATCATAACTAAAAAAAATATATATCTAATGCGCATAATATACACTCTATTGTAATATAACTCATATACATATGTAGGTGAAGTGTTCTTAATTTTAATAAATCATTGACATACAGAATATTTTTCATTACAATAATTAATAATGGAATAATCATATATATATTATATTAGGAAAACAATCCTATGATTCTACAATACATGTCAGTAATTATGTGTGTTTGAATTTATAACAAAAATAATTTTATTCACAAAATTACATATCTTTATATTTTTACATAAAATATTCATAGAATATAGCAATAAATAGTAAAAAAATAAAAAAGAGAAATTATTATAATGTATTATAAGCTTCAATCATATTTATGCAATAAAATAATCATATTTACAAAATTTATATAATAATGTAAGAACTTGACACTAAACAAATATTATATTTGACAAAAAAAAAGCAATTATAAATTTTCATTTAATTCATGGAGATTTTGATGCTGTTTTTTATGAGGAAGGATTTTTTATTGTATAATATATAGTAGTATGTGTTGCATGATTTTTTTTTTTTATACAATATATTTTATTTTTTCTTCCATAATGAACACTATTATACGCAATGTTCTTTTTATATAAATTGTATTTTTTTATATTCTATGAAAAGACTAATTATTAAGCTAACATCATAAAGAAACAATGCTTTCGTAAAATATTCTTAAATAAGATCATATAATTCGATATTAATGAAATGCTTTTAAATTTTATATTAATACTAATAATAGAAACCAACAAAAAAAATTATAATATTAAGTATAATCATGTTCTATAATGTTAATTAACTATATTTATAATACACTACAGGAAACAAATGTATATTTTATATATAACTAATTCAATGTTTTATGAAACTAATGAGAGTTCTGGTAGTAAAAAAAAAATATATATTATAATGCCTTCTATTATATAAAACATTTTATTATATAAAAAAAATATTATATTCTCCTTATAGTTAATTAAATATTATTTATTACAAAACATTTTCCAACAATAATTTACATTTATTATAAATTATTACAATTCAATCTGTTCAATGATTATATTATATGAATTTATTCAATATGTATTTAATTTTACATAAGGAATTCAAAAAATATATAAAATCAGCACTATAATAACATGATGATTCATTACATAAAAACGTAAAAGAAGAGAATTTATTTTTATAAATCCATATGTTTTTATTTACTTTGTTGTATATATACTATATATGTCAATTTGTTTTAAATTAAAAGTGCTTCACTTGTAATATCATGAAGATATAATTTTAATTGTTATAATGATTAAAAACGAAATAGAAATATTAAAATTTACATATTTGTTTTATATATTTAAATATAAAAATACACATATAATATTAAACAAATAAAAGATATCATATATATACCATTTATGAATGACATAAGTAAAGAAACATGATAAATAATTCATACATATTATTGATACATTAGATAGTTTTAAATAAGTGAAGCATGTAACATTCTATTAAATGGATAATCTGTAAATCATTAGTTGTTTAAACATATATTATGGAATTATATCTATCTTCTGAATGGCTACCATAGATCTTATAAAATCTTGCTCTTATATTTTTTTCTATGGTTTTCTGCTGTAATTATTTTTAATATATTTGATTATAGCTCTTTTACACATTAATATTTCTAAATACATAAGAAAAACATATATTTTTGTTGAAATATTTCGAGCATTTATTCAGGTCATGTAATCTATATTACATTAATTGATTT